ACGACGACTACTACTAGTACTACGACAACTCACTCGCTCACTCACTGACTCAGTAACTATCTAACCAACTACAAGCAACTAAGTCTGTGACCAAGTCAGTGGCTGATTAAGTAGCTCATTAGAACTATAAGGTGCCCCCCCATGTACACTATAACTAACTGATTGACTGACTAATAACTAACGAACTAACGAACTAACTANNACTGACTAACTGACTAACTAACTAACTAACTAACTAACTGACTAACTGACTAACTGACTAACTGACTAACTGACTAACTAACTAACTAACTGACTAACTATCTAACTGACTAACTGACTAGTTAACTAACTAACTAACTAACTAACTAACTAACTAACTAACTAACTAACTAGCTCACTATCTAACTAAATAACTAACTGACAAGCTAGCTAACTAACAAACCAACTAACCAACGAGCCGGCTGACACTAACTACTACTGCCTACCACTACTACTACTACTACTACTACTACTACTACTACTACTAGTAGTCCTCTATAGCTCTCTCCTGCCGCAAGGCTTGTAATTCTTTTCCAGCTGTCTTGGCCAGCGCTGCGACAGTCTCTTAGTACTCTCACGAAAGTGATGTTGACATTTCTGGTGCTTCAACTGTCTTGACGGATCCCTTTTTTTCGGCCATGGGTGGGGGAATGGGGTTCCGCTTCGGGTTCGGGTAGGAACATCGTGTTCTTGGGGGCGCTGCGTTGGGGGGGGGGGGTGGTGGAGGGGACTGGGGGGTTTCTGGTTCGATTAGGTTTTGTTTCTGTTGAGGAGGGGAGGTGCTGGGGGGTTCAGGTAGGGGTTCGGTTTCGAGTGGGGCTCCTTCTACAAGAGAACAACTTCGCATCTTGCTGCACATCTCGCTGCATTGGGACTCGACTGCCTAGCGAGGTGTGGCTCCCTGGGCTTCGTGTTTGAAACAACAGCCGACAAGTCAGAGAAAGATGTTCCAGTGGTGGCGATCAGTACTGTCACCTAATCCTTTTCTCGAGCGTCTTGGTCAGGAAATCACCTTTGCTTTACTTTGTGCTTAGTGCTTACCGGCTAGCATTCTGTCTCACAATGCGTTGCCCTGTGTCTGGAAGCTCACCTTACTATAGAGGCCTTAATATTTATAATTTATACTATTATTGGCGTTCCTTATTATATTGAGAGTACGTATAATATACCCAAAAACCCTATTCTAAAGATTAAGGCGCCCACGTTACCTTGGACTCTTGAGCTCATCTTGATAAGGCCTCGCCATGCGGAGGGAACGATGGTATAAATTGTGTTCAATGCGGACTTTAAAGCATCGACTGGAACAGGGAACCCTAAACCCTAAACCCTAACTTAAGGCACCCGAAGAGTGGTTCGGGCGAGGCGCATGAACGTCTTTGAAGGTCATGTTGCCGCGGGAGACGATGAAGGTTGATGCGATGGCGCCTGAAGATGCAGAATGGTCAAAATTTCGCTCCACAAAACCCAGTCATCCGTGCATGCTCCGCCATTGCGTCCTTCACCAAAGCCAGTTAACTCCGTAAACACTTTTTACATTGTAGGCTCTTAGAAGTCGTTGCCAACAGGCGCGTGAACTCGGCGCCACCTTTGTGTCTTGTTTAGCTTTACCGGTTTTAGGGTGTGTCATAAGACCAGTCAACAACCGTAAACCCTAAACCCTCAACCCTAAACCCGAAACCGTAAACCCTAAACCCTAAACCTACCTGCGAGGAAGTTGAAGACGGAGACGGCGATGACGACTGACACCAATAAGACGCGCCGCATGTTGCGTCATGGCAAGAGCGAAATGATGAGTTATGTGACCCTAACCGTCCCTAACCCCTCAGGTATCTACTATATAGGGCCCTAGGGGCTCTAGTACCCCATATAGTAGGTACCTGGAGGTTAGGGTTATATGATCTCCGCTGCTATTCTATCTATCTGTCACTAGAACATTCGCACACACTACGACTGTCGGACATGTTGGTCAAAAAAATTAGTTGAACTAGCAAGCGCGCGGATATTATTCCCGAATGTGTAAAGCTTATAACGAACAACCCTGAACCACCAGCACTGATTGCTTACACGGTATATCATCAGGCCCATCAAGCGTCTGAACAAAAGCCTCAAGGTTCAGCTAATCAACGGATATTCCCATCAACTGCTTAGAGAAAAAGCAGAATTATCCCAATACTCTAAACTGTGAACCCTGAACCCGAACCTAAACCACCCAAAACCCTAAAACCCTCAGCCCTAAACACTAACAACACCTCTCAAGAACCCAGGTCCTCCATTTCTGCTCGTCCAGACATCTTCGAAGTACATCACCTTGGCTTTGGTAAAGAAAAGCTGCGAATCTTAGGGTTTAGGGTTGAGGCTTTAGGGTTTTGGGGCTTAGGGGACGGGGTGTAGGGCGTAAGCATACAGGATGCTTCAAGGCGTATAGACGATGCATCTTAATTAAGTGCTCATCACTCGTCATCGTCTCCTTGTAGCAGACATGACTTACCTTCAAAGCATGCGGTGCAGGGCTGGCAGCCGAGTTCGTTAATCCTTGACGTGAGGTGCACAACAACCAGGGCTGCAGGCTGGGGGGGATTTGAGCTTGGCTTGTTAGGACATAGGTTGAAGAGGCTTCAAACTAAAGCAACAAACCCAAACCTCCCAGGTACCTACTATAAGTTAGAACATACCTTGCCCAGTTTGGGTAA